CAAATGGCTGCAATATAACAAAGAGTGAAAAATTGGCAGGGGTCTGAATACTTTCCATACCCACTGTAGGGTCATTAGCCTCAAGTGCCAGCAGCTTGGGTCACTTCAAGCAGGAAAACAAAAATATTTTTGCTGGAATAACTGTTATCTTAAACTGACGGTAGTGTAAGGTTTTATAGAATTCCCATTAATCATTGTAAATGTTTTTTATGTTAATGTCATTTTATGATCGCAGCAATCCAAATTGATCTTGGCCTTGCTCAGACTAGCCGCTAGCTTATCAATCTGGTTGTTTTTGTCAAACTGAGAATAAGTTATCCAGAGCATATAAGATATTTTTATTGTAACATCTCAACAAAAACGCTCTTCAAAAGATCTGAAGCTAATCAGAAGCTGAATGGTGATCTAGGATTTGTTCATGTTTCAGTCTGCAAACTCTTTTAGGTCTGAGATGCCCACAGGTGGCACACTATACAGCACAATCATCATTCTTAAAGCAACCAGTTACTCTTTATTGTTATTATAGTAAAGCAAATCGGTAAAAGTGGCTTAGGAAACCAAATGCAGTCTGACCCAAACCCGAGTCTCTTAACTTAGAGGCAGGACAATTAAAAAATAAGATATTTTTAAGACAGGTCCAACAGCTAGTGATGTGTCCAACATGTGAGCAGGTTGGGCATTCTGGAGAGTTGAAGCTGGAACTAAAGACAGCTGAGGGCCCCAGGAGGACATGGCCAGAATTACATACAACACTTGAAGAACAAAACCAATTCACAGCAAGTACGAAGTATGAAGACTAGAATTAGTCAAATGACTAATTGTACTGGGAATTGAAGCAGACAGATATGATCAATTTTACATCACAGAAACACTTAAATTTGTTTGTCAATCAATTAATAAAACTTTAAAATGGTTTCAGGACCACAGTGAGACTATGTGTTTGAACTCTGGACCATAATTTGCAGCTGAAACACAAACAGCTTTAATTGTTATTAAAACACAAGTTATTGCTTTTAAGTCCAGTCTTGGCAGCTTTAGAAAAATAACCCTCAGCATTTAGGCTGCTGTTCTGCTGACCCCTGCTGGATAGACTGAGTATTTACAGTTTTATTTTGCCTGAATCCCAGATGGCAGCACTCAGCTGACTGAGGTTTTCTTTTATTATTATTATTCCAGAAATTTAAGAGACAGAAATTATTTAAAATCTGTTAAAATCTGATTACTGATTACATTTGTTACTACAAAACTATAGATCGGTATGGATTGACTCGTATTTCCTTCCTTTGAGTTTTAGTGCAGTATAAATATCTCCATGATTAACATCCAAACACAAACACACAAAAAACACAACTAAAGTTCAGAGAGTCAAAATGTCCAAACATCTATTACAATGGCGCCTAAGGGGTGGCCAGCGGTGGCCAGGGCTCTGGCTGGGCCCAAGAAAATTGCTGGCACCCCTAGCAAAAGTCAATATTAATAAATCATATTAATATTATATTATAAATTGATCGTATTTATTCAAGACGTAATTGTAAAACAAAACAAAAGTAATGCAATTAATGAGTAAAGAAATCATCAGAATAAAAAATACATGTTTCTGCTGCACACCATTTAAAAAGTTTTTATCGCCGTAGCTTTTTGTGAACACAGCAACAGGTGAATTAAACTAAAAAAATACATTTTAAAATAAAATTTTAAAAAACATTTTAAATAACTGAAATGTATATTTCTGAAATGTTTGTGTTAGTAAAATTTATGTAAAATGTTTTTGATAAGTATTGTTTAAAAAAATAATAAAGGAGCAATGCAATACATCGCCACAGGCTGAACACTCCCAGAGCTACCACAAGGACCAGTTTGGTGGCCACCCCAAAGATTTCTCTGGCCCCGTCTGTCCACCCCTATCAAAATTTTCTGAAGGCGCCCCTGATCTATTAACGTGAGGCCCAGGCTGAGGCCTTTCCCCACAGCTAGCTCTGAAGTCGTGGTTCTGATGTTCATTAATTATTCCGAATTTTAAGCATTAAATTCCACTCAAACAGAAAAGTTACAAAATAATTCACCCCCTCAGGGTTGTCATGAATGCAAACTATATCTATTAAACCTAAAAAAAATTTAACCAGGCTGTACACATATTTCTGCTGGAAACTGGCATTTTTAACATGAGAGTCAATGAGGATTTGCGCATTTCTGGTGCCAGCCCCTAGCGGATGAGCATGGAACTGCAATTGATGTCACTTCCTTCTTGGTTTCAGGTCTGAGAGCGTTCCCCCATGGTTTTAGCATAAGTTCCAGTTGACACGGCTACCATTTTATGCTGTTTGATTTAGTATTTTTTGCTACTTCCTTTATAATTAGTACTTCCACTGTAGGTTACGTTGTTACATTGCATATTTTGAATTTTGTTTAACCTTCTGGGCCACCGTAGTTCTGATCTCAGTGAAAGGAGCAACGCACACATCGCCCTCTGGTGGCCTCATTAAGTAACACAAGACAAAAAATGAATTTGGCAAAGTAGCAGTTTCCCCAAATTGTTATAGAGACAATGTGTCGTCCATCAAATTGTTGCTGAAAATGAACAAAATGATGCCCAGTTGAAAAATATGGATGGCTTTTTAACCTATAATTGTAAACATCAGGTCTAAAATACATGGGAGCGGGTCTGGGGCCCAATCTCAATACTCACACTTCAGCAAAGTGCACTTGAAGAAAGTGTGCAGGCATAGTACACAAGTGTGCAAATAATTGCAGAATTGAGACAGGGAGCATTGCATCATCGATCGCAACACATGCCGGGATGCTGGTCGCTGTGATACTTTTTTCAAAAACCTTTATTAAAAACTTTTAAACAAACAGCCAAAAAAATGTTTGAAGCAAATTTACATTTATTGCTGCTTTATCTAAAAGTTTTAGTGCATCAACTAATTGTCCTAAAATTAACTAACTTCATTAGAAAATACATATTTTCAGAAAAGGAACTTGAGCCTTTTCTCCTGCAGCATTGACTTGTGGGTAATACCCTTGCCCGAGGTCCGCATTGCTGCAGACTTGGATGAAGTGCAGATGAAGGGTGCAAAGGGGGCGTGGTCAACTTCCGCACTTGAGAATTGGAACACCCTATGCACTCGCACCCCTGGCCGGGAACGCGCAAATGAAGGGCACAAGGGTGCAAGTGCGAGTATTGGGGTTGGGCCTAAGTCTCTGGGCGACGCCATATTAGATGCCATGTTTCCTACGGGAGCCCATGAGGACAAAATGTATTTACTGATTTGTAACATATGGTTACAAAACTTTCACCATTCTTAAATGTTGTAGTTTTACACATTTACCTCTTCACTTGTTGCCAGTGCAGGGAGTCTGATGTGCTTGTTATTTTGCTAAAGTTTGCACTCCTCTGGGCTTTTTGACCCTAATGGTCATCCATTGGCAAGTTCTTACTCTAACACAAAAACACTGCTTGCTTGCAACGATTTAGATATCTACTGCCCCCTATCACCAGGAAAAATACACACTGCCACTTTAAAGTTACAAGTTACAGAGCATGTCAAGACTTCTGGTGTTTATGTTTCTGTTGTTGTGGATTTATTATTCTTTTTCAATAAAAGCATACATTTAGAGAAGAATTTTCAACTGAGTGCTTTAATGTATTTTTTACTGGTTTTTATTCAATGTGTTTGCTTCATTTACAGTAAAGATCTCAGTTTTCTGAGGCATGCAACACATACATAATAATATTATCTAACACTGTCACTATATGCACATCCAACAGGTGGCAGTGCATGGAGGGAAAGAGTCCAATGGTGCTTATGTGCAAATATACCATCAACACCAGCTAAGGAAAAAGCTTTAGAAATCCTCCACAGCAAATTAAGAATAATTCATTAAAGGGGTTATTTAGTCCTTCATCTGATTTAATTGAACGTTTCACTTAAATGTTTTCCCACCAAATGAGATAACCAGATCTGACTCCACTATGTGTTTAAAACTGTGTAATAAATGCTGACTAATGAACTAAGACGGCATTTTCATGTGTTTGTGGACAATCCAGGTCCTTTTGAGAGGTGTGACTTGGTAAAAGCAGATGAAAGTCGTGAAATGAAACCTTTGAGTCAAATTTGCGCATTGCTGCCAAAACGCGGCGCTGTTCTGCGCTGCCGCCAAATCCCGCAGCAGGCCTTGTCCTGTCTACATGTCCTCTCCCCTTCTGTTTCTTTAAACCTCTCCTCCCAACTCCTGCGCCACATCCACGCTGAAAAATCTAAATTCCCTTCGCTAGTTGTAAGTGCGCCCACCTCGCAGGAATTGTTACATTTGTGCACAATTATTCCTTCCTTGCCGCGGACTCGAGAGTGACCCCATCGAGCTGTGTGCTGAATTTGGTTCGCTTCTCACCCGAATCCGCTCAGTTGTTTCCGGTTTCAGGGGAGAATTTGCCGATTTTGCGGCCACGTCGCTGATAAACGCCGTTTCCCCCGCGTCACCGCCCCTGGTGACTGCGTCAAGAGCGCGTTTCTTTGCTCTAATAAACGCATTAGCCTAATTAAAACACGAGTCCCCCTACACTTGGACATGTCTCGTGAAACATATAGGTTTCGTCTCCTTCAAGAGGCAGTCTCGCTGCTCAGCTGAGTCTCGGTGACCGAGAGCTGCTGCAGCAAAAGATCTAAAAGCCTATCCGAGGTTTTTACGACATCATGCATCAAAACTGGAACTAAACCAGCTCGTCTGGCGGTTAAAGTGTCAAAGTCTTGTGTTTTTGTGCTGTCTGACAAGCGTTTGACACACACACACACACACACACACACACACACACACAGCAGAGAATGAGTCTTGTCGTGGCACAACCGTAAGAGGTGAAAAATGAAAACGTCCCCGCCGCAGAGGGACTAAAATCAGCCCCCATAGGTGCGCCTTAGTGGCTCAGGTTCTCCGTGCCAGACTGAACTTTATATCGAACATACATTAACACTTCGTGGCCTGCTTTTTTTCCTTCTTCCTCCCCTTCTCTCCTCTGGAGGACTCCATTTTGAAGAGACCGGGTGTGCAGTCAGAGCCTCATTTCTTGAAGGGATCTATGTGTGTGTCTGAGTGTGTGAGTGTGTTGTCTTTTTTCCGGGTAGACTGCTCTGCTGCATCATTTCTTCAGACAAGAGAGGCGAGCTGTTGGAGGATCTCATTTGTGTATTCTGTCGTCTTTCCTCTCAGGGCGCATGTGTGCGTCTCGGGGTGATTTTTAGATGTTGGCACTAGTTGGTGACATGTCAGGTGCTGACAGCCCGGTTTGGGTTAATTGTTGAGGCTTTTAATTAAAGGGAGGGGCAGGGCGGCTGGTTTGGAAGTGAAAGGTCGTCTTGTGTGGGTTTTTGGATCTTACGGCCCCTCTTGTGCTCCATGCTGTGGACCGGGGAGGGACACGCTGGTGACGACTGGTAGTGCGCAGAGCTCAGAAACGGACTTTCAAGAGGAATCCACCATCATGCATCCATCTCTAGAGGGGGACTATAAAGTTATCCCAAAGCAAATGAGGGAGGCTTGCTGGAGGAGCGCAGACAAGTGATTTTTGTAATTATTGTTATTCCAGGGGCCGCTGGAGCAGGGTTTAGCGCATGTTTAGAGGGTGAGGGAGGGGTGAGGAAAGAGGTGGAGGTGGGGGGTAGAGCGAGTGAGAGAGGGAGGGAGCGAGCACAGGATCCAGGCCTAGTAGTGCTGCCGCTGGGACTCTCCTCATCCGCTGTCAAAAAATTGGAAATTTGCACCTTTAGACGCCAAAATGCGCAGGAACCGAGTCGTTTTAGCGCTGCCACACAGCGGAATGGTAAGATTCTCGCGTGAGACCCCGCGTCATGTGCGTGATTTTGCTGTTTGATGAACAGATATAGACTGCATCTGTCGGAGGGAAGCCTATGGAAAGTGCGTGTCAGTGATCGTGTGCGTCGGTGTGTGTTCATGAACTTGACGCTTTTTTCACGCTGTTTTGTTTTTCATGTGTTTGTGTTTTTGTGCAACCATCAAGCCGCTGCACACGCACACGCAAACATGCACACACATGCATGACCGTCTTCACACACACACACACCTTAACACACACTCTACTCCTCCACGCGCAATGGAGCGCGCACGCGCGGGTCCATCTTAATTCCTGGTCTCGGCACCGGCGTATTTTTTTTAAACATGACTCGATGTGTGATTGTGAGGCTGGGTGTTTGTGAGCCTTCATGTGAGTGAGTCTACAGGCTGACCTTATCGCGTTTGATGTCATTTCCAACATATCGCGATAACAGCATTGGGAGGATTTACGGCTCGTTGTTTTCAGCTTTAATGTCACGTTAGGACGTGAGGGAGGCTGTTTGGATTGGAATATCATGTTACACAGATTGCGTTTGGAGACATCTAAGCTGCATTTCCCAGAGATCCTGGAAGATTAAAAAGTGTTTAGAGTAAGCATGTAATTAGAGTAACCATGTAATTCCTCTGGTGTTGTGGTTATTATAATCATAATTTATAAAGAGAATTAAATTTTACTTTTTCAGAATAAAACTTTCTTCTCATTTCAGGGAGGCATCGTGCCAACATGAGTGGGCCTCACAGAGGCTCCGATAGAAAGAGTCACCAGTCCAGCTGCCCTCTGACCCCTACCCGTGACCCCTCACATCCCTTCAGACTCTACAAACAACCACTCGGCTTGACCATGTCTGCCACTGCCTCTTCCCTCAAACATACATCTGTTTATAGGTTCACACAAACGGACCACTCCTCCTCCTCTTCTTCTTCTTCTTCTTCCACCTACAGTCCCCTCAGGAGACTGCAGCATCTCACCAGCATGGTGAGCCAGCCGGACCTGGTCCTCCCAGTTAGGGATCCAGAGAGGAGCTGGGAGTGGGCTGCACACAGGAAGGAAAAGAGTAAAACGGAGAGGGACTCCTGGTCTGATTACAGGGAATATTCTGTCACCCAGATTCCAAACCCCGAGGAGAGATTCTCCCCATCTTCTTGTGGACAGAAGCAACCCGAGGGCCAAAGTGGAAGCAAAAACACACCTCCTGAGAATTGTAACGATTCTGTTGTTACAGAGAAGAAGACGGGTTGTTTCTCAGGCCCACCGAGCCCAGCTTTCTCTCTGGACAGCAACAGCCCCTTTGCCAATGGCCTTCTTCACTTTGAATCCACTTTGTTTGGGACAGAAGATGACGATGAAGAACAAGGTACCACATCTCCGATCGAAGGTTTGCAGGAGAAAACCGAGACTGTTCCTCAGTCTCCCCACAGAAACACACTTTTGGACACAAAGGACACAGTGCTGTCATCAGCTAAGGTGGTCACCCGCTCCCAGTCTTCAGGTCAGCGCAGGAGATACTGGGACGGCTCGGAGGATGAGTGGGACAGCGACACTGAGCTGTTCCTGTTTGAAGACAGTCCTTCTTGGCAATCAGTGGCAAGTTTTATCTTCCTTGTTCCCTCAGAAATATGCGCAGAATTAATTTCCATGTGTGAACAAAAGAAATTGAGCAGTTGTTGCAAAACACTTGTTAAGCTCCTCGGCTGTCCTTTGGCCAGTGACGATTGTGTTTGTCTTGGTTTTACTAAAGACATACAAACATAATCCCACAGAATCACCAAGGAGAGTTGACAGGCGGGTGTGGAGGGAGAAACATGACACTAACCTTCTGCATGTGATGAAAAGGGCTGTCTCCTTCCCATTTGGCCTTCATTCATTTAGTAGGTCTGAACTTCCTGTAGCAACAAAAGCTGTGATATCCTGTCTGTGGACGCAGTTATTGCAATTCGAAACTTTAACAGAAATGTATCATGAAAGTTCTGCCCTGAGTTATGTGCCACATTCCGGCGGTTAAATGTACCGACCTTAAACACGCCAACAGGTTTTATGATGTAAATTCACGTTTTGCACAATCAAGTTGATCTTTAAAGGTCATATTGGTTTCGGTCCTGGATCATTAACATTTTTCTGGCCCAGAACTAACATTTGCATTAATCCTTTGCAGTGATGTCAGATCTCCACAACTCAAGCAAAAGTGCAGGAGACTCTGAAGCCCACAGGCAGCTTGAAATGATGTGCATTAAAAAAACCTGCATTATGCAGATGCTTTATATCGTTCTTTATCATTTAGACCGAATTCAGGCAAGGCTGTCACCACATGCATGTTAATGTTTCATGATCTAATCCATGATTGGGCTCATTTTGAAGCAGGATGTAAGTAACAAATATAATACAAATTAAAGCTGCAAGCAGCGTCGTTCGGCCCTCGCAGCTCCGCGCCGCTCCGGCCTGGCCGGCAGCCCGGGGCACCAGGGCATGTCTTGCAGAACAGAAACGTCAATCATCCCGTCACCGGAAACAGCAAATGGCCTCCTAGTCCGCACCTCACCCTGACTAAGCATCCCCTCTGAGCTCACCATTAAATTGAATTGTAAGGTTACGGCGTTACGCCAGAATTCGCCATGGCATCAAAGCCCCTCCCTTTCTGGAAAGCTATCAGATTTGAATGGCCATTACAGCATCATGAAGACAGTGCATGACCTAGGTGTCATGTTGACTAAATTAGAGGGGACAAATATGGGCATTTCAGCATAAAATAATAACTTCCTTTAGTCAGGGGGCGGGGCTTCGATGATGTCAGCTGTCCACATTGTCATTGTTTACAGATATGGTCAATGATCACACAGACAAAGTTCGAAAAAGATCTGATCATGCACATGGGAGTTATTAAGTCAAGTAATGGCGAAAGGTCAAAGTTTGAGGCTTAGCCACGCCCACACCTTTCAACTTTTGAAAAATCCGACGGTTGAATTTTTTCCCCTATGCCTTAAGAGTATATAGCAGAAGTTTGAAGGCGATTGGTGAAAAGGGCGACGGAGCATCACTCTCCAAACAACGTGTGCGAAAACCACTAAATCGCGTACTTGGACCAAAATGGCCGACTTCCTGTGCAATTTTGTGCTTGGCTCCAAGAGACTTTTTTGTAGGTCCTGGGACACCACATTAGTGTACCAAATTTCATAATCCTCAGTCAAAGCATGGCTTGGGGCTATAAGTTTAAATGGTCCTAGGGGGCGCTATTTCAGAAATTAGGCCACGCCCACATATTTCAGCTGTCTATGTCTCTTTGGGGTCAGACTAGGATCACTCACCAGAAGTTTCGTAACGATATCACGATAAATGAAGAAATGAGAGGCAAACGTATTACCATGGCGTGATGGCGATTTTCGCCATGCTCCCAAAGCCCTGCCTTTTTTTGAAACCTTCCAGTACTGGATACCAAGTGACCTCAAGTTGTCTACTGCTATTTGCCAGAGACTCCTGCTGATTGGGTAAAAGGAGTCCAGTAGGGAGCTGTGAAAAAAAGAGTGGCGCGGCGACAGGTCAAAGTTTGAGGCTTAGCCACGCCCACACCTTTCAACTTTTGAAAAATCCGACGGTTGAATTTTTTTCTCTATGTCTTAAGAGCAGATGGCAGAAGTTTGAAGGAGATTGGTGAAAAGGTGGACGGGGCATCACTCTCCAAACAACGTGTGCGAAAACCACTAAATCGCGTACTTGATCCAAAATGGCCGACTTCCTGTGCGACTTTGAACTTGACTCCAAGAGACTTTTTTGTAGGTCCTGAGACACCACATTAGTGTACCAAATTTCGTAATCCTCAGTCAAAGCATGGCTTGGGGCTAATAGTTTAAATGGTCCTAGGGGGCGCTATTTCAAAACATAGGCCACGCCCACAAAATTCAGCTGTCTATTTCTCTTGGAGCTCAGACTAGGATCACTCACCAGAAGTTTCGTAGCAATATCACGATAACTGAAGAAATGAGAGACAAACGTATTTCCATGGCGTGATGGCGATTTTCGCCATGGTCCCAAAGCCCCGCCTTTTTTCAAAACCTGCCAGTACTGGAGACCAAGTAACCTCAACCTGTCTACTGCTGTTTGCCACAGAATCCTGGTGATTGGGTAAAAGGAGTCCAGTAGGGAGCTGTGAAAAAAAGAGTAGCGTGGCGACAGGTCAAAGTTTGAGGCTTAGCCACGCCCACACCTTTCAACTTTTGAAAAATCCGACGGTTGAATTTTTTCCCCTATGTCTTAAGGGTATATAGCAGAAGTTTGAAGGAGATTGGTGAAAAGGGCGACGGAGCATCACTCTCCAAACAACGTGTGCGAAAACCACTAAATCGCGTACTTGATCCAAAATGGCCGACTTCCTGTGCGACTTTGAACTTGACTCCAAGAGACTTTTTTGTAGGTCCTGAGACACCACATTAGTGTACCAAATTTCGTAATCCTCAGTCAAAGCATGGCTTGGGGCTAATAGTTTTAATGGTCCTAGGGGGCGCTATTTCAGAAAATAGGCCACGCCCACCAGATGTTCACATCAGATCTTTTGGGGGGCCGGACTAGGATCACTCACAAGAAGTTTCGTGACGATATCTTTGGAAATGACGAAATGGGAGGCAAACGTAAGGCCAAGGCGGTACGCCTGAATTCGCCGCGCCACCACAGCCCCGCCCTCTGCCGAAAACTCCCATAAAGTGACGCCAAGCAACCCCCACTTGTCTTGAGTTACCAGCTACAAATTTGTGGTGATTAAGTGAAATGGGGCAATTTGGGACCTTTCACAGTAAAACTTGATCTTTTTGGTCCTGAGGGGGCGGGGCTTGTGTGATGTCATCATCCGACCTTTCAATTTACTTTGTGGGTGGATGACGAATGACCACAGAAAGTTTGGTAACTCTATTCCATTCAGTTATGAAGTTATAGCAATTTAAATATTTTTGGCGAGTAGTCAAACTTCGAGGCCTGGCTCCGCCCCTTCAACATATACGAAAACTCAGAATCCTTATCTCATTTTGTTCGCCCATCCCTTCTGAGCAATTTTACACAATTTTTGAGACGATCGTGCGAAAAATGATCGAGCAATCCAATCAGAAACGGACCCTAAAAACGGCAAAAACGGCAAAAAATCGCCATTTCAACCCAAAATGGCCGACTTCCTGTTTGATATTGACCATGGTTGCAAGAGACTTTTCTGTGCGGACTGTTGAGTACTACAAGTGTACCAAATTTCATAACTGTACGATAAACTAAGCTTTATGGAGAGGGGTTTTTTTAACTTTGTAGGGGGCGCTGTTCAGCCATTTTCTTTGCGATTTTTTTGGGACCTTTAAAATATCAAATTTTTCACCAGGCCTGACAAGTGTGCAAAATATTGTGAGTTTTGGGGTATGTTAAGGTCCCCAAAAAGCTGTTCAAAGGGGGCACGGAATAACAAAAAATAATTAAAGCTGCAAGCAGCGTCGTTCGGCCCTCGCAGCTCCGCGCCGCTCCGGTCTGCCGTCGCACCAGTGCACGTCTGACAGAACAGAAACGTCAACCACCCCGACACCAGAAACCGCGAATGGCCTCCTAGTCTGCACCTCACCCTGACTCAGCATCCCCTCTGAGCTCACCATTAAATTGAATATTAAGATTACGGCGTTACGCCAGAATTCGCCATGGCATCAAAGCCCCTCCCTTTCTGGAAAGCTATCAGATCTGAATGGTCATTACAGCATCATGAAGACAGTGCATGACCTTAGGGTCATGTTGACTAAATTAGAGGGGACAAATATGGGCATTTCAGCATAAAAAATAAATTCCTGTAGTCAGGGGGCGGGGCTTAGGTGATGTCAGCTGTCCACATTGTCATTGTTTACAGATATGGTCAATGATCACACAGACAAAGTTCGAAAAAGATCTGATCATGCACATGGGAGTTATTAAGTCAAGTAAAGTAATGGCGAAAGGTCAACGTTTGAGGCTTAGCCACGCCCACACCTTTCAACTTTTGAAAAATCCGACGGTTGAATTTTTTCCCCTATGTCTTAAGAGTGTATTGCAGAAGTTTGAAGGTGATTGGTGAAAAGGGCGACGGAGCATCACTCTCCAAACAATGTGTGCGAAAACCACTAAATCACGTACTTGCACCAAAATGGCCGACTTCCTGTGCGACTTTACGCTTGGCTCCAAGAGACTTTTTTGTAGGTCCTGAGACCCCACATTAGTGTACCAAATTTCGTAATCCTCAGTCAAAGCATGGCTTGGGGCTGAAAGTTTTAATGGCTCTAGGGGGCGCTATTTAAGAATATAGGCCACGCCCACAAACTTCAGCTGTCTATTTCTCTTGGAGCTCAGACTAGGATCACTCACCAGAAGTTTCGTAGCAATATCACGATAACTGAAGAAATGAGACAAACGTATTTCCATGGCGTGATGGCGATTTTCGCCATGGTCCCAAAGCCCCGCCTTTTTTCAAAACCTGCCAGTACTGGAGACCAAGTAACCTCAACTTGTCTACTGCTGTTTGCCACAGAATCCTGGTGATTGGGTAAAAGGAGTCCAGTAGGGAGCTGTGAAAAAAAGAGTAGCGTGGCGACAGGTCAAAGTTT